ATTAAAATTTTAATTATTTGTTAAAATAAAATTTTAAATCTTTAATTTTAGTTTTAAATTAAAATTCTTAATTTAATAAATACTAATTTAAGAAAATTCTAGTTCGTATACTTTCTCTTTGATATAAAAGGTAAGATATAATAAAACTTTTTCTTTTTGTTAAATGCTAATTTTGTCCTTCAACTTTATAGTATTACACAATTTTCATCCATCAACTATTTTTTGCACTCTTTTTATTTTTCGATTCTAAAAACTACACAATTTTAATCATCCATCAACTAGGGCCACTAACTCAGTTCAGGTGGCATTTCTTTTATTTGTTTTAATGATGTGGATAAATGATGTGTCCTTATTAATCCTATTTGGAAAATTAATTGACCCACTTGTCCAAATTAATTATTTATTAAATTAAAATATTTTTAAAATGACAAGTTTACCCCTTACTCCATCTTCTACCTTCGGTTTCCTCTTTGTTTCTCTAATTCATCTTTGCCCTTTTTTCGACTTACCCTTCTCCATTCTCCAGTGCTTTCTTTCTCTTCCTCCTTCTCTGTCTCGACACTTCAACCTAGCTTCTCCTTTCTCTTTTTGTATTCATCTTCTTCCCAACTCTAGTGCCTTTCTTCATTCCTTTTCCAACGTCCTTCTTCTTCGCCTCTCTGTTCCGCTCCTTATTCCTTCCACATCATAGCATCTTTGAAGTCCTCTCCATTAATGGAAAACATCTTCCCATCTTTGGCAAGGATTCCAACACCCTTTTTCTCCCTATCTTGCCCTTTCTTCCCTCTCCTTCTTCCCCTCTGTGCAAACCTTGCAGGGTTTGTTTGAACCCAGATCTAGGCTCAAGGAACCCAAATTTCTGGGTCTTCAAACCCATATTTATAGATTTTTTTTCAGTAACTCTAGTAATTTTTATGCATATATTGAACCCTTCTATGTGATGGATATTTGTTTCAAATATTGTGGTTGTGGGATGACAATTTAGTATTATGAATGTTGCAGAATTTTGTTTATATGTTTTGGTTTGGATGTTTCTCTTGTGATTATGTGGTTATTAAGCTGTATTGAAGTAGTATGAATTTTCAATGTTTTGGTTTTGTTTTGTTGTAGGGTTAACCATCGACGTCAAAGAAGAAAGATTATGTTTGTTTGGTACAAATTTAATTATAATTAATAATTTTAACCATAAGTTTTTTTTCCAACTATATAAGTTTTTTACCATGTAAGCATTTTTTTCAATTTGATTATCCATGTCATTAGAAAAAATTTTAAAAATGTCACGTGGACCGAGTTAATAACCTTAATTGACAAAAAAACTAAAATTAGATAATTTTTAAAATTGAGAGATTAAAAAATTACAAAAAATTATGTAACATTATAAAATTAAGGGATCAAAATTAACATTTTAACATTTTTTTTTAATTTTGAGGGAAATACAAAGGGAAAAAGTTTTTAATCGCGCGTCTTTTGCACGCTGTTTCGAGGGGCGTAAAAGTATATGAAAGACAAAAACAGCAAACCGCTTGTAATCTCGAAAGTCTGACACCACAAAAAAAA